AGAGCTTTGTTAAGTGGAGCTCTGCAGGCCTGCTCCACTCCCCTGCCTTTGATGAGTTCACATCATAGGAACAATGGAAAATTGGAACGGTCTCAGTGGTAGTGGGAAGGTGAAAAGGTGGAAAACCCTTAGAACCAGGGTGTGACACACACACACACACTCGCGATAAAAGTAACCATATGATATGAACGCCGCACGCCACGAGCCACGAAGAAACCTCAGTATGAAAAAGATCTTAGTAGTTCACCGGGCCCTGGTGAAGGGAAAAGAAGCCATTTTCAGTAGGACACCGGGCTCTCCAGCTTCAGTAGTGCACCGGGATTTCGTGAAAGGAAGAGAAGCCAGTGTCAATAGTTAGGAAAGGTGAGTGTTAGAACAAGCGGGTACAGTACGTGGAGGCGGCGTCCCACTTCCGTATCGTCAGGTACATCGCCAGCATCGTTGACCAGGCGACGAGGTACCCTGCCTGGTCCCCTGCTAAACACATCTGACATGACAGGCTACACACACACACACGCACACACACTCAGGATAAAAGTGCCTACGATCTGACCGCTCCAAGCCATGAAGAAACCTCGGTATTAAAACGCCTAAGTAGTGCAATCAGAAAACCTTCCAGCGCAGGTCTTCTCGAGAAGAAAATGAAAGTCTCAAAATTATCCAAGTCACATGGCAATATTCATGACTGCAGTGATGGAGCTGACGCAAAGGCTGGAAACTTTTTCGAGTTCTAGTTTCAAGCAGAGCCCACTGCAATTTAGCGGTAAAACGCGGGTACACAGTGGAGCCCACTGTGTCAGCACCAACTGACACCCTCCCCGTTGGACGGGTATCAGGGGTGTGCACATGTGCACGCAAGAGGGACACATGAAGAGACATGAAGGAAAGACATGAAAAAGACGCGAAATGTAGGTGCTTGTTGTGAAGAGCACATGAACAGGAACGACCGGCGAGGCGTGCGCAACAGAATAGAGGGATGAAACTGCCGGACATGAAGGCGGAAAAGACATGAAAAGAAAGAGGAAAGGAAAGTGCGTGGGCGTGCAGGCAGATGAACCGGAAACCAAATTATGAAGGGGGACAAACAAGACCAAGCCAAGCAAGCCTCTTGAAAACAAGCCTAGGGAAACCTCACCTCATTGGTGTACGTGCACACAGTGTGTACGTTAAGTGCGGGACGGTCATCCATGATCCACTGGACTGGCACCTACGCCTGCTGTGGGCTACTCCTGGCCACACGGCCTGCTCCATGGTGGCATCAAATCTTAATCGACCTTTGTGCTAAGACTCCTTCGTCTGGACACGTTCTTCACCGGCTGGGTGAACAAGACAAACCCCTGTTCGACAGGGCCACGGAGGGCACTCTTCGTGCTCTCTCCAGGCTGGCACGAAGCCAGACACACTCAGGATAAAGGTACGTACGATCTGATTGCTCCGGGCCCTGAAACTCGGTATTAAAACGCTCCAGTAGTGCAAAGGGGTCCCACCATCAGAAAACCTTCCAGTCAAGGTCGCGTCGAGGCCAAGAAAGTGAAAGTCTCAAAAATATCCAAGTTTAAGAAAATCACCAAAAGCTGCTAGAATCTATTTAGTCAAGCTGAAGCTGGAAACGACAGCTATAGCTTGAGAGTTGAGTCGGGAAATTAGCAAATTAGGCCACAGTCGTTCTAGACTGTGCAGTTTGACAAGGTCGAGGCCCTTCAGGCCAAGTGCAAACTACACAAGTAAGCAGGACGCACAATATGCAAATGCTACAGCAACAAAATGAAATAATGTTTATATTGTATATTTTGTATTAATAAATAGCGCTGCTGGGGGTGGACAGTCTCCATCTTGAAGCTCCTTCTTTCCAGCCTTGGCATCATCTTGGCCAATCCGAAATCGCCGATCTTCACCTGGTGAGCGGAGCCGATTGATTCAAAAATAGCCTTTGGCCCATCTCACGGAATGGCTTGGCAATGGGAGAGCGTTGGGCATCTGTTTTGATCCATGTGGAACGCGGACTGTGGGGTGCCTATACACATCATTACACATCTAATCATCTACAGCAATACCTAGATGCTATTTTGCAAGCCTTCAAGGTATAAAGATGTATAAAGTCTTTTACTGAAACGTCTTATGAACGTGTCCTCGTTCAGCCTAGGCCTTTCTCATTTCTGAACACCCAACTGGAGTTTTAAAATGCAGTCTGAAGGGAAGAAAAGGCATGCCTTGGGGACACGCATTTGGAATTGCCAAGTCATTGGCGCCATCCCCAGATCCTTCCAAACTTCCAAACGATTGGTTTTGACGCGGAATTCTTGGGATGAGCCAAACATGACAGCTTTTCCCACCACGTCTCTTGTCGGCCTCCAAGTGCTTTGTGAGGAACATGTTCAAGGGCTTGAGGTCCCGATGGATGATGGGGTGTGCTAAGCCATGCAAATATGCCAAGGCTGTAGCAGTGGAGAGTGCCCAACGCATCGCCAAAGGAAACCGTGGCTTCCACAACCCATCAACGGAAGCGACCCGTCGCTTGCGCATGAACGTCCTCAGGTCAGCAGCCTGTCAATGTTCTAGACCAAGCGGAGTGCAAAGGGTATAGTGATCAACCTAGTTCAGCTGCTGCGACTTGTAATTGTATATATTATATATTATATGATACTATATGTACTGAACTGACTGAACTGCAACCAAGGCTCTCAACATCCTGGTTCTCAAGGAATTCTGTTAGCAGCATGGGCTCGGTTGTGTCAAAGCTTGCGCCAAGCATCTTTACCACACATGGATGGCTTACCGCACTGAGAATGAGGATGTCATTGATCAGATCGGTCAACTTTGCATCATTCTCCTCTGGATCATCTGTCAATGGGTCCATCTTGAGCTGCTTCAAAGCCACGATTTGCCCATGCCAGCCGGCCACGGACACTGTGCTCTTGATGGTGCTGCAAAGCACGCGCTTCAGAACGAGATCACCCACATCTATGCGCAAACCTCTGTCAGTCAGGTAGCTCTTCATGGAAGTGGCCGTGATTCTGCTCGTCCCACTTTCTTCGGAGAAGACTGAGCAACCTGCTGGGCAAAAACATTCGTTCTTCTCAGCTCTACTAGCTTCCGGGTGAGCGGAAACGTTGGACACAGGAGTTGGATAGAGTGAATCATGAACCTCGGTAATGCAGCATTCCAAGTCGTCGTGAATCACAGCGCTGCTAGCGCACCCCATGATAGTGCACAAGCCACAAGCTTTCAGCCAAAAAAGATCCTGCAGCCATCAGGTGTAGTGCACTTTTGTTGAAGTTGTAGGGCCTAGAGTTCATATTGTGGTGTTATTTTGGATAAGATGGAATGGTGCCCCTAAATGGATCTTTCCGTGTCCCATCGTGTCCCCAACTCAAGAATGCAAGGATTAGCCACCTGATGATTGTGGGAAGTTGAATCCTTTTGTGGACCTGCCCAAAAGCAGTGCCGCGCAGCGGCCCGGAATGGCACACCTAGCCTAGCCGGTTGGTCACAGGAATTGCAACTTCCCAGTGTTGGAAGGATCATCACGATCATCGAACGACCCAGTTCTGCCTGTAGTTGCTTCAGGGTCGTCAGACCAGCAGGGCCTGCGCCAATGACGCACCTTGGGCACATCTTCCATGACCGACAGACCGTCGGCATCGGCGTCCTAGAGTCGAGGACCTTTTCGGGGGGGGATATTCAAGTACCACTGGTCTGAGCACCAAACGATCCGTCCCCCCGAGGGCCCGACAGGTCTGACCAGTCTCTGCAGTCTTTCTAGGGCAAAACACCCGACAGGATTCGACTGTCTTGCTGGGATTTAAGCCGAAGAACAGTCTTTTTAAATCCAACATAATCCAACGGAACTCCAAACGTAACAGGGAGTGGAAGACCGGCCCCTGAAGTCGACGTGAGTAATTACTCAATAATCACAAATCACCAACCAATATGTTGAAGAAACTGCAGTTGCTGCCCAAACACGCCTGGCCTGGAGATGTACTTTGACGTTTCCGAGATGAACCCCTAATTTAACATCTAAAAGAGCCATTCCGCATGCAGATCATGGCAACTGTGGATTCAATCTTTAATGAGCAAATGACCACCAGTGTCTTGGTTCTGTCCTTCCAATACCTCGATGTTTCAGTCCACGTCTTGGTTCTGCGCACCCTTGGTCTTCACCACCATGGTCTGGTGACGTGCCTTTACTATCCTTTACTTACAAATGGCCCAAAGGAATCACTCGATGTGCTGGAAAGGCCATGCCCTGGGTCTCCCCCGCACACGCATCTGATGAGGCGGCTTCATGGCCATCGCGCAAAGATCCCACGGGTGTTTTGTGGAGTTCTCCAATAAACCTGACCACCTTCGGCAACCTTCTGCCACCTTCGGCTCTTCCCTTCTCAGGTTCGAAAAAGGGTTTGCCACGTGCATGTGTTTCCATTTGTCCATCAGGCTCTAGACCTTAAGACATGTCTTTCTTTAAGTCCTCCTACTCTGTTGTCGGGCGCGTTCTCAAAAAGACTCATAGTGTTCCAAAGGTCGACCGGATGAAAACGCGCTTGAAATTCACCCCAGATTGAATCAAGCAATGAAATGGCAGTCAATGCCTGCTTCTCTGCTTGGCAGCCTAAGTCGATTAAATGATGAGAGCATTGAAGTTTGACAAAGATGCGTGGCTGCAGGCTGCAGTGTCACTTTCTTGGCCTCACATGTCGGCGACCTGTCTGCTCTATCTTGGCTATGAAGCGGCAGTCTCCAGCATGATCTATTGCCTGCTCAAGCCTGTCAATTGACCACTGTGCATGCATAAAAGCACCAAACGAACCAACTAAATAATGTGTTTAAAAAATGGCCTCTGTGTCCCTCTGTGTCCCCTTGTGGGTTCACTCTGTCACTGCATCTCACTTAGCCGTGTCCAACGTCCACCTGGAAAATATGTGTTAGTCCATCAAATCCTTGTGTCCAATAATTGGAGAAATAATGATAAAATTAAAACATATCGTTTTGGTGCAAGAACCAGCATGAATGGTTTCGTGTCTTCCTCAAACAAATAGACTAATTTATGAAAGAACAATGTGCAAAACTATGTAAACTTCATTGAACACGTGGACATCGCTTCGCACGATCTTTTCCCAGGCCTTCTCTACAGCCAGAAGGGCGGGGTCTTCCGGAACCCCTCCACCGACGCCTATGTCCGGGCGACCTCCGGACTCCCGAGTGTCTTTCTCTTCTTTTCTTCCGCCGGCGCGCGAGGCTATGCGCGCCCGTTGGCGTGGCGGTCGGCTGGGGTCTGCTCTTCAGCCCCTGCGAAAACGTGAGGAACAAGGAGGAACAAGGAGGAACAAGGTACCACCGCTCTAAGTTTCCCTAAAGATCTAGGAACCAAATGAATAGTGCGAGCGCTTCTTCAAGGAAGCGTGAGCTATCCTGCGTGCTAGGTAGTAGCTTCCTAGGTAGCTACTTAAGCTACCTCACCATCCTCACCTCTACGGCCTACCCCCCGCCGGGCTAAATGGGGGAGTACCGGAGGAGACTAAACACCAGACTACAGCGGAGTGCTTTCAAGCGATTAAATTCCTAATTCACTGATCAAGACAAATTGAATCAAGAGGAGTATGGTTACGAATGCATTTCTTCACCCGTTGGTACAGGTTGTGGCGCCTATTAAATGGAAGGTCACCAGGCAGTTCACTACCAACGAGCGGGCAGGAAAGGTCTGGCACAAAAGGTAGGCGAACGTTGAGAGGATATGGTTGGCCTGGTAAGGATGCATATATAATCTCGCAAAATACTCATAGCTTTCTCCCTTTGCGGTAAAGTTGGTCGGGATGCGATACCCCCAACCAAACTACAGTGATATCCTAACCGCACCATTGTAGATGCGCCTGTTTTGGCATAACGAGGATATAATTTTTCTTTTGAGGTGCTCTCCAGGTATTGAACTACATTGCGAAAATTTGTTGCTTGATGCCACAAACTACGGACTTCGAGTTTTTGCAGGGAGACCTCGGGCGAAGAGAACCCAAAAGGGTGTGCTGGCTGATTATCTTTGACTTTAAGCCAGATTGGCATACATCGGCCTGCAAAAAGTGCAAAATGAATCACCAGTTCATACCAAGTTACACCATAATCTGTTTTCATGAGTGGTAGGTCCGGGTGACGCCATGACAAGTTCTGGAAAAACAGTTATACACAGTGAGCAATTTGGGCGCCTGCCGGGCATGCATGGGCAATTACTGCAGGAAGCTCCCCAGTAAAATTCCATTCAGGCCCCTCAATTTGCCCTCAATTAATAACACCTCCTAAAAAAGGAACAGTTGGCCCAAGGAGTGGTGGCAACATAACAAAACCATCAAAAACCCACCTGAGTCGGAATGGAATCTACTGGAGTTTTGTGTCTTTCGCAAGATCAGTGGGTGAAGGCTTTCTGGCTTACTTCCAAGAAAAGGCAAGTTTTCTCCGTTGCCATTCTCCACTTTCAGAGTACAATTCAATCCTTGTTTGACCGGTTTGACATTCTTGATGGAAAAAAACGTGTGCCAGCGCGATTCTGTTCCGAAGGTGGCTCCAACTGAACAAGAGCAAACCATCAGACCAAAAGAAACATAAAGAAACCACGATGCATCTACCCATGGGACAAGGTTTTTCAACATGCAAAAACAAAAATCGACATATTACGATGTTTGTCGCAGTACAACTCCGGAAACAATGAGAATACCATGGATAGACTTACTTCGCTACTTCATCTTACTTCCAATGAAGAACTTGTTTTGTGACCGTGACCGGTCGTGGGACCCTTTAGAAGCGGCCGAACATCGAACCGGGCGACCCGTCACCAGATGGTCAAGGGGCGGACTGTCGGATGGCCAAAGCTGATAAGGGTGAACTTCCAAGTGAAGTACAGATAGTGTGTTTTGGAAGGCTAAACTTAAGGATGATCTTCATTGATAACTTCAACCCAATGAACAGATCGCATGTCACAAATATGTATGATATACAAATATCATCCCGCAGAAGTCGTGTCTTCAAGTCTTGCCAGGGATTTGTCAGGGTTCCAAGCACTTCCCGGTCCCTTGGGTTTCCTGGAGTTGTGGTTCACCTTTTCCTGAAGAACTTCCAAATGCTTCAACCTCAACCAGTAACCAGAGCATCCAGACCCAACTCACCACCGCCACCCACCCGGCCGATGTGATGCCTCTGCTTGAGCTTGGCCAATCTGGGCTCTTCTTGAGCCAAGAGCTGGGCCAAAAGCCGCCGCCTCTACGGGTGCTCTTTCTCGGTCGAAAGGCCATCGCTCAAAAGGCGCTTGGCTTGGGTGGTTTGCGTTGGAGGTGTCCAACTCGACACCGGTGAAAAATACCGAGCCACAATATTTACGTGAGGTGTCTGCGCAGCGTCGTTTTTGTTTTTTTGGTTGTCTGGTTTTGGATGTCATGATATGTCCTGTGTTCCCCCCTCTCAGCGACCGCCAAAAGCGACCGAAAAAGAAAAAAGAAGGGATTCGTCATATGCGGTCCGTCCGAGAGGGGCCTTGGCTCATCTCCAGCATCTTGGGCCTCCTGCAATCCGAGGGGACTGGACGCGGCAACCAGGTGAAAGAATGCAGGATTGCAGCACTTCCTTACGATACTCATAAGTACTCATAGGGGCTCCTGGCCTTACTACTAGGAGCAAGAACACAACACTAGGGGCTTGTAAGGCCAGTGCTCCAAGTTTGATCCACACAAGACGAAGCCACCTGAGGTCGGTGGATTGCCAATCTCCAGCAGATCGAGCCCAAGTGAATGTCAAGTTCATCTGAGAACTGTTGGGACCTGATGGATCTAACCCTTTAATTCTAATAGCTTCTTGTTACTACTAGTAAGGCACTTGTTACTACTAGCGAGGCACTTGTAATTACTAGCAAAGGAATCTATCAGAAAAAGGAACTGAACCATACACCCCTTCGGGTCAGGAAGGATGTTCATCCAAACTCTGAATCTTGTGGGAGGGTGGGAGGGAGGCCTCTTCCAAGAT